ACTAAAAGGTTGCCCAGTTATTAAAATGCTCCTCCCTACACCATTATCTCATCCACATGGCCCTGCATGTGGAACTGGAAGCATTTCAGAGAATGATATGAAGGTCCTGGACTTTAATCTCTTACCTCGCAGCCTAAATTTGGCCTCCAGGACCTCTCTCCTTCATTTCCTTATGTCATTGGTACCTACATGTACCACAATCACCAGCTCTTCCCCAGCAATGCATGTAAGTCTCTCTAGCTGTCTTGAGAGATCTGCCACCTTCACATCCATCAGGGAATTCACCATGTGGTTCTCCGAGTCATCACAAACCCAACTATGTATATTTCTAATAATTGAATACCCCATTACTATTATTTGTCTCTTCCTAATAACTGGGGTCCCCTCCCCTGGAGGGGTATACTCAGTGCTAGATGATATCCTCAGTGGCAGAAGGGTCCCAACTGAGGGATTGTTGCCCTCCAGTTCAGTTTGATGTTCTCTTTCCCGAGACTAGCATCCTCATTAATAGCACAGAGGCTGTCAGACAGTGGCTGGGATGGCTCTATGTCTTGGAAAGTCTTGTCTATGTACCTCTCTGTCTCCCTTAGCTCCCAGCATGCATCACTCCACCCAATCCTAGGGGGCAGTCCCATAGGGGGAGAGCTGTCAGCATGCATCACCCAATCCTAATCCCATGGGGCAACTCCCTGGGGAGAGAGCTCCCAGAATGTACCACTCCACCTTAATCCCAGAGGGCAGCCCCCTGGGGAGAAGGCTACCGGTATGCCTTGCTCCACCCTGATCCCGTGGCACAGCCCCATAGGCAGAGAGCTCCAGCATACCACACCCTAACATGATTTCATGGAGCTGAAGCATGTTGAAGGGATTCTGCCACTGGAATTCCAGTCAGTATCAAAACAGAAGTTAAAAGTAGTTTCAGATAATACTATACTTGCACCTGAGTCCCTTTGTCAATTTTTTTAGCTTTTCAATCACATTTTCCAATTTTTTTAAATGGCACAAAGGTCCACATGGATAAGATTGTAAAACAGAGACCCTAGTGACTGTAATGCATATAAGCAGCTAATGAAATGAAGCATTATGCATGTTCTTAACTTTATGCACTGCGCTTAGTTCCGTTGCCTGCAAAGAGATTACATCAGTACATAAAGTTAAGTATGCACATAAGTCTTTGCAGGATCAGAGCCTTAGAAGGTCTGCTTTATAATAATAATAAATGCACATGTGTGTTTTTAATGGTATCAAGTGCTAATATGGTAAAGATTTGAGTTTCTCACTAATAACCACAGTTTTCAGAGTTCAGACTCTCAGGGTATTTGAAATCAACATAATTTTATTTTACCTAAAATTGTTATTAATAGTTTATGGTGAAAATAAAAATATAACTTAGATTCTGATTCAATTTTCTTGGTTTTGAGGTTTTTGGACAAGTTCTAATTTAAAAATAAAAGGTTTAGAGATTTAAAAATTATTATTTGCATGGATTTAATCCTTTGTGTCCTGATCCTGCAAACACTTATGCACACGTGTAACTTTACTTCTGAGAATAGTCCCATTGGCATATATGGGACAAAATAAAGGAGTAAAGTTAAACACACCTGTGTTTGCAGGATCAGGCCCTAGCTGTTTTTAAAATGCTCAAGATATTTTTATGTCTAAAACAACAACATGTATATAATATGTGTGTGCTAATTTCCTAGCTATCTCTTGTGACAATTGTATAATGAGGATAGTACTAATCCATAGCTGCTATGCTATTCAGCACCATGTTGAAGTGCCATAGTGATATACAAGCAAGTTTAAGTCAACAGGGATGACATTACATTATCATGAAGTGTGTCAGTTCAAATCTGTGGTGACACTGACAAGATGATTTCTCTGCAGACATTGTTTTGCCATCAAAACCACAGTTTTAATGTGAGTTTTAATAATGCTTAGAAAAATGAAATTCGGTGCAGAAAAATACTATCTGTGCCCAAGATTTTTAGTATTAAATTCTCTATAAGGTATTCTCAAACTGTTTTACCTGCAGATTACTCACTCAATATAAAGAAGATCCACTTACAGGCTCCCTTCCTTCCCAAATCCTTCTCCATCTCTTACTTTTGGTTCTCAAAATATTTTTTTTTTGTGGTCCCATAAGGATTCTGTGGGGTTCTGGTTGTCCAGAGCTTCAACTGAGACTAGTAGTCTGTAAGATCTAGTCTTCCATCTGTGCAGTGGTATTTGCATGAGTTACTCCTGCTAGTGTGAGTGTAAGAGTGTAAAATACATTACACGCATGGAAGAATTAGACCCTTATATTTTAAATACAATTTTACACTTATTCCATATATCATATGGGACTTCTGTTCATGTCAATGTGAATTTTGGGCAGAGATCAAGCTTTAGGATATTCATTGCCTTAGGTTATGTTATATTATTTAGTGGTGTGGAATTCTTCAGGACCATATGTGATGGAATGTCTTGGCACAGTTCAAACAAGGGTATGGCTTCTTGCCCTATAAAAATGTAAAGTATTGTTGTTGAAATATAGGGTAATTGGTTCTTTTTTCACCTAGGATTAATTTGAAAAGAACATGGTTCACTTTTTAAAATTCCAGATACAGAATTAAACCCAACAGTTATTTACTGTACTGATCCCAGAAGCCAGTTAGGTTAGTCACAGATTCATGTTATTTATGGCCATATAAGGAATATAACTATCCAAACCAGCTTTATTATTTAAAGCTAGTGGTCTACATTTGGTTCTTTATCTTCCACTGCCTTTGCTTGGCACATTTCTGAACAGTAATAAAATTGAAGGCTTATTGCACAAATGTGATGTTGCTCTGTTACGGCAACACAGAAGTCATCATTTAATTACCACAAGGATGTTGCTATGATATTTCTGTAATTTGAATGGGCTTCAAAGTGTACCAAACAAAAATACTTCATTTATTCACAAGCAACACCAGCCCTTTCAGTTTCTTCCCTCAGCGTAGATACTGACACTGCTCTGATCTAACTATGAGCTGGAAGGGCATTCTGAGTATTTACATGCAAATATGACCACCTGTGCTGCTTGTGTATTTCTCTGTATAACACTTTGCTAACAAATAGGTTTTAAACTGGAGCAGGACTATCATATCCTCAGACTAGTCTGAGTTTTTCAGAAATCAAAATTGCCCCAAAATGTTCATTGATCGGTCAGGCAAGTGGAAGAATAATGCATTAGTGATGTCTAGGGGGAAAAAGCAGTCAGAGACTTAGAAATAATGTTTGAAAGATAAAGGCACACTTTAGACATAGTCAGGAGAAAGCAACAGAGGGTCCTGTGGCACCTTTGAGACTAACAGAAGTACTGGAAGCATAAGCTTTCGTGGGTAAGAACCTCACTTCTTCAGATGCAAGTGAAGCATCTGAAGAAGTGAGGTTCTTACCCACGAAAGTTTATGCTCCCAGTACTTCTGTTAGTCTCAAAGGTGCCACAGGACCCTCTGTTGCTTTTTACAGATTCAGACTAACACGGCTACCCCTCTGATAGTCAGGAGAGTTTCCCATTTTGGGGGCAATTATACCTTAGGCTTCTATTCAGCAAAACACTTAAGAGTGTATTTAACTTTAAGCATTTGAATAAGTAAAGTATATGAGTAGTTCCATTGAATTTCAAAGAAACTACTAGGGAGACAAGGTGGGCGAAGTAATATCTTTTAGTGGAAATAAGAAAACTACTGACATGTACTGCATAGGCACAGCTGTGCCACTGTAAGCTTGCTAGTGTAGACATGACCTGAAAAGCAGTAGCTGGATTGACAGAAGAATTCTTTCGTTGACCTAGAGCTTTCTACACAGGGACTTAGGTCGGCTTAACTATGTCGCTCAGGGGTGTGGATTTTTCACACTCCTGAGTGATGTAGTTATGCTGACCTAATTTTCTAGTGTAGATCAGGACTACACTACATGCTACAGTGGCACAGCTGCAGCGCTGTAGCTGTGCTGCTGTAGCATCTGTAATGTAAAGAAGCTGCTAAAGTGTTAGGCAATGTCTAAACTGAAAATGCTACAGTATAGATTCCTCACTACAGTGATGGGAGGGGTTCTTCCTAATGACTTAGCACTGTCTGCATCAGGGGTTAGGTCAGCATAGCTATGTTTCTGAGATATGGCTTTCTCACATCCATGAGAGACGTAGCTGTGCCAATGTAAGTTTCCATTGTAGACCAGCCCTTAGTGTTCCTCAGGGTGGATTTGATTTAAATTTAAAGTCGGGAAGACTCGATTTAATCATGAATTTCTACATAAAAGTGCATTCTTGTGGGTTGTTATAACCTTAATACATATTCTTCACAACTCAGAGATAGATGTAAGTTTCATTTTTAGAAGGTACACACTATACATTTTTAAACAGTGATTTATTTTGAAAACTTTTCAGATTAGTTTTACAGCTATATCAGAAAATGAATGATTGTTTTTTATTTCATTTACCAAAGGTAATTGAAGGAGATAGTTCACCTCCCAATGACTTCATAAATATCTCCAGTTCAACAGGTTAATCATTAATATTTGGAGGATTTTCTTGCCATGCTGTATTAAGAGGAGAGCGTCACCAGACAGACATTTAAATTGTTTTATTTAACTAAAACAACAACCTTAAGCATTCTGGATTTTTTCTTCAACTGCAAACGTAGAATATTTTAACAAAACAAGCATATGTCCCTCGCTTCTCACATTTATCTCCAGTCTTCTTCTTGTCCAGATCTAGTCCGCCCCCAACAATCTTCTATTCATTGAACTTTTTGAAACTTTGCACTTTTAGAGAGAGGTAAGTGATTGACTCTGTGTACACAAATTTGCAGAGGGACAATAGAGTTGAGGTCTGTTATTTCTCACCTCTATATATTATTTATTTATTTTATTTAAAAACATTTTTGCTGTTAACAAGCATGTTACCTCTGAAGACATAAATCCACAGTTTGAGAACTGCAAAACTAAGCCTCTGTGATGGTATCTTCTAGACTGAGCATTGAGTCCGATTGGGCTTTTGGGCTTGGGAAACAAGCACTGAGTGGTGGCATCACATCGTCATGCACGTCTGGGATGATCATCAGTGGCTGCAGAACTTTCGGATGAAGAAAGCCGCATTCATGGGACTGTTTGATGAGCTCGCCCCAGCTCTGCGGCACAAAGACATGAGAATGAGAGCATTCTCCCTGTCGTTGGAGAAGAGCGTGGCGATTGCACTGTGAAAGCTGGCTACTCCAGACTGCTACCGATCGATCGCTAAACAGTTCAGAGTGGGAAAGTCAACTGTTGGATGCGTGTTGACAGAAGTGTGTCAGGCCATTAATCGCATCCTGCTCCAAAAGACCGTGACTTTGGGCAACGTGCGTGCCATTGTGGATGTCTTTGCACAGATGGGCTTCCCTAACTGTGGAGGGGGCGATAGATGGTACGCATATTCTAATTCTTGCACCAGCCCACCTAGCAACCGAGTACATTAATCAGAATGGGTATTTCTCTATGGTTCTCCAGGCGCTTGTGGATCACCGTGGGCATTTCACGGACATTAACGCAGGCTGGTCCGGAAAGGTGCATGACGCACGCATCTTTCAGAACACTGGCCTGTTCAGGAAGCTGCAAGCAGGGACTTTCTTCCCAGACCAGAAGATCACCATAGGGGAAGTTGAAATGCCCATTATGATCCTGGGAGATCCTGCCTACCCCTTAATGCCATGGCTGATGAAGCCATACACAGGGAACCTTGATAGCAGCAAGGAGTGATTCAATAACAGGCTGAGCAAGTGCAGAATGACTGTTGAGTGTGCCTTTGGCCATTTAAAGTCCCGCTGGCGCTGCCTATATGGGAGGCTGGACCTGGCCGATGAGAATATTCCTATTCTTATAGCTGTGTGCTGTACGCTCCATAATATTTGTGAAGGGAAGGGTGAAAGCTTCACTCAGGGCTGGACCGTTGAGGCTCAGCGCCTGGAGGCTGAATTTGAACAACCAGAGACTAGGGCTATTAGGGTGGCGCAGCGTGGGATCAGGGATGCCTTGAGGTAGCAATTTTAAGCTGAAAGTCACTAATATTTGTTGCTATGCTCGAGAGTGCAGTGCTTGTAATACTAGGAGATGATTGAGATTGGTGCATGTGATGCACTGTGAAGGTTTAAGAAAATTGCCTGTTGCTTTGAAGGGCTCTGTTTGCTTTCAGTTAATGGAATAAAGATTGCTTTCAAACCAAAACAATTCTTTTATTAAAAAACAACAACCGGAGGAGAGAGACAAACAGAAAAACACATCAGCACTGTGGGGAATGGGGGAAGGGAGGGTCTCAGGAGGAGGGGAGGTCCCGGGACAGTGAAAGATTTGTGTATGTCCAGGTATCATATGCAACCTTGTCCTTTGGAGTACAGTGCAGCAGGTACTGTACTTCAGCAGGGCCTAATTGCAGAGGGACGGGTGCTGAGTGCAGTGGGTACTGGGAGTCCGCAGTGCTGGACAGTGACAGTGGAGGAGTGGAATGTCGCGGGTAGAGATTGGAGCCAGGAGGTTGATAAGAGTGTGTTGGTGGTGTCTGAGGGTCGCATGGGAAAGAGTTTTGCGACAGCGGCTGTTGGGGAGGGAGGGCGCGGAGCTGCTTGGTTTGCAGTGCTAGTAGCGCCTGGAGCATGTCCGCTTGGTGCTCCATAATGTTTAAGATCCACTCCGTGGCTTTGTTCTGGTGTGCCGTGTTCTCCTTTCGGTCCCTCTTCTCACTGTCCCGCCACTCCTTCAATTCTTGTTTTTCGGCCGTGGAGTGCATCATGCATCACGCAGAAAATCCTCTTTAGTTCTTCGTGGCTGCTTTCTAATTCTGCGCAGCTGTTCAGCCGGCAATAATAAAGAGGGAGGCTGGGCTCCCAAGGTCATATCTCTGAAGCCAAAATGCAACATTTTACAGAAGCAGTATTGTTTGCAACACACAGACCACTGATTCAGTGATTTAAAACACAGCCACTATTCACATACCTGTCACTAACTGGCTGAACCCAGGCAAGCACATATGAGCCACAAGACCCCCAAAATGGTGAGTAACCACAGGGGCAGGAGAAATCAGTGTTCCAGGACCGTACTGTACACTGGGCACGTGGCTCTTGGGGAGAGCCAGCACTGTAGGGGGGGGGGCTTATAATCATTACTGTCCCCACATTTTCCACAGGCTGTGTTCATTATGGAAGATATCTCGCTGCTGAGGGTGAGCAGGGAATCAAGGGAGGGTCTTCTCCAAGACTGCGGCTTTTGCCCTGACCCTTATGCGGCTCGCCTCTGTGCAGCAATGGTGTCTGTCCCCCCACCCGCAGTGACGGCAGAGCGGTGTGGGAAAGTTACCCTTAATGGGGCAAGAAACAAAGCAGCTCTGCCAAAGAACCTGCGGCAGCAGATTGCCCAGTATCTCTATGAGAGTTTCATGGAGATCTCTGAGGGAGATTCCCATGAAGTGAGAGCGTCAATCAGCACCCTGTTCCGCCACTCAGACTAGGCATGTGGTGGTACATGCATCATACAGACACAAGCCTGCTTTCTGCAGCCCTCCTGCCCCTAACAACTCGCTTCAGCGCTTCTCAAAATCAAAGCCACTTTCCAGGGGCCTCCTCTCTTGTTTGCACTTCGCAAAGTTTCGAAAGCTGTGACTGGCTAGCCTCCTCCAGGGTAGAGAAGAGCTCTGGCTGCATGCATCTCTGACCTCCTAGTCGTCCTCTGCCTCTGGGTCCCCCTCCTCCTCCCCATCCTCTTCCAAGATTTCCTCTTCCTGGCACAGTCCACTCTCGACTGGCATGCGAGCCACGGAAGTATCCATGGTGGCCTTCGCAGTGGAGGTGGGGTCGCCACCAAGTATCGCATCCAGCTCTTTGTAGAACCGGCAGCTCGTGGGCACAGCACTGGAGCGGCGGTTTGCCTCCCACGCCTTTTGGTAGGTGTTCCGCAGCTCCTTAACTTTGACTCTGCACTGCAGTGTATCCCAGTCATGGCCCCTTTCTGTCATGCATCGTGAAATCTGTCCGTAGGTATCAAAATTCTTGCAGCTGGTGTGCAGCTGGGACTGGACAGCCTCTTCTCCCCAAATGCTGATGAGCAAGTTAACACTGGCAAGTTTCTGCGCAGTAAAGCAGCTTTTTGCACTCAAACTGCAGGCGTGTGCACACTGTCAAGCCACTTTGTGCGCAGCAACTCCTCGGTTGCAGCGCTGCAAAAACCCACCTCAATGAGAGTCGTAAGGCTATTTGTGCAGAGGCTCCAGCGCTCTATTGCCAATGTAGACACTTGATTGCTTTGTGTGCTGTAATTGGCCTCTGGAGCTGTCCCATAATGCCTCAGGTGACTGCTCTGCTCATTGTTTTGAACTCAGATGCCCTGGAGACATGCGCCCTTCCCCTTTCAAAGCACGGTTTCTGACAGCCATTGTGTGCTGTGCCGATCTGCTCTGGGACACAAAGCAAACCATTAATGTGGAATGCTCGTGCTGTTAAACCCAGAGGCAGGTGTCTGTGTTGTGTTTGTGTGTGTGTGTGAGAGAGAGATTCCTGTGCAGAGATCCCAGGGAGGGAGGCCAGGGCTGATGTTGGGGGTTCCCCCTGCCTCAGGACTGGTTGTTTCCTGCCGCTGTCTGAACTTACAAGACAGCATGCTGACACACTCTCTATTCCCGCAAAACACACTGTCTCTCTCCTCTGCTTCATACCCACACACATGCTCTCTCCCTCCCCCTCCTCCCCCACACACTTCAGTTGAAAAGCAGCTAACAATGTAGTAGGATGCCCATGGGACAATGGAATTGGGAAACCTGCATCATGTGACGCTGTGCCTGCCCCATGAGGCATTGCAAACCCTTCCCAAAGCATCCTGCATCCAGGTACTCAGTGGGATAGCTACCACAATGCACTGCTGTCTTTGTCGGTGTAAGAGCTGCTAACGTGGATGCACTCGGGCATCACAAGGAGCACAGTGTGGTCACACAACAGCTGTTTATTAATTCCAGCGTTTTAATAAAAGTGGTATAACTTGTGGGGCCGAAACTTGCCAGTGTAGACATACCCTAAGATGCTTAGACCCAGTGCTTTAAACATAGGACACAGCTACCCAATGAACTTTTTTGGGCATTCAGATTCAGTTACCTTTTAAACTAATTTATTTTTTCCTATTTCGTTTCTGTTAATAAATAAACCACTGATTGACACAGCCAGCAGTTTTTGCAATTGTCGCAAAGCAAGAGCAATAGTGCTTCATCCATAACTTCCCCAGTCAGCAAACTGAAGCTTTTAATTAGGAAAAAAATTTTCATGAATTTTTTCAAGATTTGCTTTCGTTGTCCTTTTGTTTGAGTCAGTTTAACACAAGATTATTTCATTCATCACATTGATTGATTAGAAAGTAATCAGTTAGGCTTTTTTTGGGCAGTGTTATTTTGCTTTTTGTTTGGGATTTTTTTTAACTGTAAAACATAAGTATCTTTCAGTTTGTTCATTTTACATTGTTTATGCAATGTGTTAGTAGGTTATTTGTCCTGGAGCACTGAGAAAACTAGCACACTGTTCGGCATTAATAGTAGATGTAAAGAAGAGCTTCCTGCATGTAATTCAGCATGCCTATTAATAGTACTTAATTAGTTAATGGACTATATAGCGTTACCATGGTACATATGGTAGACACTGATATTTGTTGTAGGAATCACATCACTTTCATAACATTCCAGTTTTACACCCAAATGTAGTTGATTACATGCAAAATTCAAACACAGCAAAATTGGAATTTCATTTTAAATGCATATTATTGAATTTTTTTGGAATTGAATATGTTTTATTCAAAAAGTCTAGGAAATTACAAGAATTCTCATCCAGCAAACACCGCTCATCTCATATTAAATTATAAAGTTAACCGCATTAAAGTCAGATTAATGACCAAATCTTGTCCCATCAAAGTCAATGGGAGTTTTGTCATTGACTTCACTGAGACCAGAACTTGGTCCAGTATGCTTGTATTGCATTTGCATAAACAGAAAAAATCATATTTAAGACCACTATGTGCTCAATTTCGCCTTTATGATTTAAAAAAAGTTTTTGTAGCTTCAAAAGTAGGTGCAGGCTCTTTTCACTTTGCATCCCATAAGGCAGCCACAAACAAGCCTAATACCTAATTTTCAAATTAAATTGAGCTTTTTCAAAGCTGTTATTGCATCTGGCTGGCTCTTAAAGTGAATGACTCCAAAATGGCATGTAGGAGTTGAATAATCCCTCACGAGACTACAAAACCTTGCAGATTTCTTCCATGCATGTGCCCCATGTTTTTCTAAATAATAAAGTGATATCATCATGCTAGTATAAGTGGAAGTGGTAAACTCCTGGGCTGACATCTTGCTTATTAAGACCATGTCTACACTACCACTTATGTTGGCAAAACTTTTGTCTCTCA